CCCCCCCCCCCCCCCCATGACTGGTGCTTAATTGGTGGTACTGCACAGGTATTGACTGGTTAAAAGCCATCACGCCAAAAGTTAATGAGGTAATTGGGAGATAAATATGCTAAACGGACAAATTAGCATCAGGGGATGGGACAGCTCATGCATATTCATTGAGTTGTTTTATGTGATGGACACACAGGCACATGACAAAGTGAGTCCCTGAGTTTTCCTAATGACTACAATCATAATGTGCTCACTGGTGATTTGATACAATGCAGCAGAAGCTATACGTTGCTCTTGGTGAAGCGTCGGGCTAGCGAGGTTCAAAAAGCAGATTACTTACTTTCCCTAAGCCTGGGATTTATGTTCAGTGGAGGATTATGGGATGTCTGTTTAGTACTGCAGCAGATCCACAGTATGATTGGAGCTTCAAACAGCAACTTCAAGCTTTGAACGGAAGATGTTTTAACTGCTGCAGTATCGGTTAATAAGTGTCTTGTATTTCATGGTTACTGGTTATTAAGGCACTGATCCTAATGGCAGGTGTACAGGTGAATACTTCGGACCAAGGATACCACCGTATGTCTTACTTTTTCTTTTCTTTTGCTTTAAATAGGGTTAGGGTCCATATTTTTCTTGTCAACAAAAGCCAACGGTGTGGTATTTCATCTCAATACTCAGCCCCGAGCCCATTGCTTCCTACTGATGACGTTGCAAAAAACAAAACAAAAAAATGCTCAGTAAAGTCCGAAAACAGCAGGGCACTGTAGTTTTTAGTAAACGTTACTCAAACAGGAGTAAATAGTGAAATTGTTGGGGACTATTTTCAGCTGTGGAGTAATACACATAGATATATGAGGCTTTAGATACGTAGGAAATGCATATTAGTGGAATCAGTTGTTGGTTTTGGTCTTCTAATGGGAATTGTTGACAGAAAGAGAAACAGAAAATCCCCAGACTTCTTCTTTTAATGCCAGCTGTTATAAGAGGAGGATGTAATATTCAATATCTTGAAGCTTTTGGATTTTTGTTGCCACAACTGCTTCATAGCATCATCATGGTTGCTGTGATGAACTGTTTCCTGTGAGGTGGTGTGTGTTTTGCCACGTAGGCCTCACCTTTCTATTGATGTTCTGGCAGCCAATGAATTTTACAAGCCGGTTAACTGTTGTTTCATAACTTACCTTTTACGTTTTTCACAAAACGTGATTCAGAAAGATTTAAAATAATAAAAAAAATGTATGACACACAACTAGCGACTTACAGTATGTCTGCGACATGACGGGCGATACCACAGCTGGACCAGAGTTTCATTTCACTTTTTATCTTTTTGTACTTGATGCCTCTCTGTGTTGAAAATGGTGTCTTATTGCTTTGCCTCCTCCTGGTCCTCGTGCTGTTGCTCACGCCCCCTCATGTCAGTGCAGCAGCTGCTGTGCCTTTCTGCTTCCTCCTGTGTGCAGCAGTGCGTCTGCTTCATACCTGCCCAGCAGCACTGTCTCTGCTAAGTGATAAAGGCCCACGGTGAATGTAAGTGTACTCCTCTGGTTCTGTGTGAATGCGTCTACTCACAGAAACGTTTCCGCAACGCTGTGGTCTGATTTCACTTTCTTAAAATCCTGAAGATAAGTTCATTAGGGACCAATCGCTCTCGCCCCTCCAGCAAGCACACAATCATGTACGTCAGCGTGCTCTGCAAAGACACAGCTGCTGTTCCCCAATGTGAATGTACCCGCACCGAATGTCTCCACGGGCGTGTGAGTTTAATACAAGTACTAGTGGTGTAAGTGATCCGCTTTGTCGTGCACTCGTCCGTTTGGTGCCGTCTTAGTGCTTTTGAGATGCACATCGTCTGCCTCGTTGTGAATTGGTGGCATACACTTCTTTGTAGAAGAAATTAGTAAAGATGAGAGCTGTGTTTTTTTTATATGAATATAAATGTGACTTTTATCGGCGTTCACTGTGATCATGTCTTAGTTCCAGATTTCCAAACTGGAAAAGTCATCCCTTAGGGGGAAAACAAAAAGCAAATGTGACATTTCCTCAGAGAAACTTATGTTTTCTAATATTAGCGGTTTTAAAATGAGGTTACATTTTGTGTTTTTGTCTCACATTTTAGAGTAGGGCAGAAAATCAGCTCCTTGAATACTTCCAGAATCAGGTTAAAACTTTTACAGTTGGAATAAATTAATACCAGGAATCAAAGTCTACATTTCATAAGCACTCAATTTTAAATACTGCCATTTTTATAACCGGTAAAACAAACGGCGATCCTGTTGCTCTCTTATTGGAGTGCAGCTGTGACAAGTGTGTCCATATATAGTCTGTTCATTTGTGTCAGACAAAGGGATCTTTACAGGAACAATACATGATTTCTCCACTTTAACTTTGTCAGTTTTTTTTATTTGAATTAGCTTTATTACAATGTGTCTGGGTGTACAAAAAGATGAAGTTGTTGGAAATGAAGTAAAGTGAAGCATATTGTCCAATAACTTTCCTGTCTTGATAGTACAGTAGGTGATACCGCAGACCATGTTTTAATATCTAATTTTTATTATCAATCAAATGTACATTCTGCAGCATATAGTTTAATCAAAACATCAAATATCCTACAAACAGATGTCAGACAAAGTTCTCCCTTCTTTGTGTGTGTACTTTTTCCCCAAAGCTTTATTAGCATTTGAATCAAAGCACACTTAAGAAAACAATCCATCACCTGCTCTGCTCACTTGGATTGATCCCTGTAAACATCCATTCTGCCTAAAGTTAAGCTGAAAACAAAGAGTCGGCTCAGTTCAACTTACTGAAAAGGAGTTGCTCAGTCAGACCAAACACCTTTTTAGAATCAAGTGTTTGATTGTAGGGAGTTTATTCCAATGTTGGATCAGCATGTTCCAGCACACAGATCTTGTATTAAGGTAAACTGTTGTGCAACACCACAGTATGACATGACCTATGACATGCTAACCAACACTGAACTCTATGAAACTATAAAATCCATTAACAAACATGGGTGTTGTCACATTGGTTGTTTGTATTCACTATTATTTTCTTTACCAAGTAATAAAGAATGCCATTAAATATGACCTTTTTTCCCACGGTCTATGTGGTGATATGGAAGTAAACATGATTTCAAATGTTACTACTGTTTTTAAGTGCTTTAAAGTCTGGTAACCCTATCACTTTTTCTTTATTCTGCTTCTGCCTAGAGTGACTTTAAAACCTGTAACCTCCTGGCTGGTGGCTGGTCCTTGTGCAGAAATAACTAGTCCTCCGACCTTTGCTAATATTCTGTAACAGGCCGTCGGGTGAAAGAAGAGAAAATGTACCATACCTGAGGGGTTGTTTTCTTTTATTTGTATTTTCTTGAGAGGCTCTGGTGTGGAAGAGTATTTTCTCCTCAGGTTTAAGCATTATTGTGTCAAAATTGATTGCTTTGATGTTTTTATATTTCTCACATTTTTATCTGATGTCATTCTAAATGGGTAAACTGTGCAATTTTTGGCACTATTGTTGTTGCAATAAAACCAAGAAAAATAACACGTTATGGGTACGAGTAGGAAATGAATATGCGTTAAGGGCCTGGCACACACAAACGGATGTTTTCTCTTATTCTGGCTGTTTAGAACTCTGCTCTGGTTGAAGGTAGGTGGGGCTGTAAAATCATCAAACGACATGAGTTTATAAGAATAATAAAGGTGCAAGTTATCACGCCTGAACAGGTCCAACATGGGAGTGAAGGAGATCTTGCTGGAACACTAGAAGGACACAAACTTAGTCCAAATATGGGCAGTATGTAGAAACACCTGTGGGAATATATCGTAGTGACAGATGAGAAATTCTCACCGGTGAGTACTCATTCTGGGACAGTGATGCGCCTAAAATTACTGTCAGAAGTGGGATTCGAACCCACGCCTCCAGGGGAGACTGCGACCTGAACGCAGCGCCTTAGACCGCTCGGCCATCCTGACATGTTAAATTAATGTAGTCTTTAGACCAGGGGGAATTACTCACCAAAAGCAGTTAATGTATGAATTTATCTATGAGGTGTGTTTAGTTATTTCATTGTGACTTTCAAGGTGCATTAAATATTAACACGGCATCAAATAACCGAAAGGGAAGGTATTAGTAGTAGCTACTAATACTGCTGATGTCACTGAAACACGTAGGCATGCCGCCTCCAAGTCAGGAGCTCGAGCTAACTGACCTGTCACCGACCTGTCACGCGCCACAAAGAGAGCTAAAAAGGACCAATTACTGATGAAGAAAGTGGAACATTTAGTTTGGGAGTCTTTTCTCTTATCAAACCAGAGGTAAGTGAATACTGGACATATGTGTTCAACGGGCGCCCGAACAGAAACCTCAAAAGGAATGACGCTAAATAATGTCAGCCAGTCATTTGCTAACACATTATTAGCCACACCAAGTTTGTCTAGCTAGTTGGCTCATTGCTATTATTTGCTCTGCTGTCTTTCTGTCCCCTGGTGGTGAAAACATGCTCACTGCAGCTGTAAGCCAGTTCAGTTAAGTTGGGCTGTGGTATTTGAGGCCATAGAAATGTAACTTCTATTGAGATTGGATAACGTTAGCGCAGCTGCAAACCTCCCTCCACCACAGCGCCCGCCCCAACTACCTCGTCAACTTCAAAGCAGCTCTTCACTGCTCTTCATCTTCACCATTTGAACTGCATCTCCTTTTGCTGTGTCAATGACTTTTGGAGTACCGTTGCACCTCTGCCGGCCGGCCACCGGGGGGCGCAGTGTCCCAGACAACACCTGAATACAGCCCGCGACAGTGGGAAGAGTGAAGTTGCAAACACGGCTGGATGAATGTATACTTCCCCCACGTTTAACGTCACTTTACTGTGTCTATGCAGGAGCCTCGTTTCACCATGGTTAACAGTGCA